GGAGATTGGGGGGACTGGAAGGAGTGGAGCGAGGGTAAGCTGCAGTTGGGATGTAGTATGAGAGAAGAATAAATAAAAATATAAAACAGACTTTCTGAACAGAATACCACTAGAGCAGGCACTAAGATAAAAATTAATAAATGGGACCTCATGAAACAGAAAAACTTCTATAAGGCAAAGGATACCATCATTTGGACAGAGCAGCAACCTACAGAATAGGAAAAGATTTTCATCAACTACACATCTTATAGAGGGCTGATTTCCAAAAATTATAAAGAACTCAAGAGACTAGATATTTAAAAAAAAAAAAAACAACAAATAACTCAATTAAAAAAATGGACTGCAGAGCTAGACAGGGAATTCTCATTAGAGAAATCTCAAATGGCAGAGAAATATTTAAAGAAATGTTTGACATCCTTAGCCATCAGGGAAATGTAAATCAAAACCGCTTTGAAGTTCCATCTTACATCTGTCAGAATGGCTAAGATTACTAACACAAGTGACAGCTCATGCTGGAGAGGATGTGGACCAAGAGGAATACTCTTCCATTGCTGGTGGGAGTGTAAACTTGTACACTCAGTCTTGCAGTTCCTCGGGAAGATGGTAATTGATTTACTTCAAGATCCAGGACATACCAGGACGCCCCATCATACTACAAGTATGCTTGCTCAACCATGTTCATGGTTGCTCAGTTCATAAAAGCCGGAAATTGGAAACAACCTAGATGTCTTTCAACAAAAGAATAGAATTTTTTTTTTAAATATGGTACTTTTACACAATGGGGTATTACTCAGCTGTTAAAAAATTATGTTATGACATATGTGGGCAAATTAATAGAACTAGAAAAAAAATCATTCTGAGTGAGGCAACCCAGGCTTAGAAAGATATATATGGTATATATTTGCTTATTTGTGGATACTAGTCATTAAGTATGTGATAACCAAGCTACACTCTGTGGGCATTCCCAGCAAAGGGCCATTAGGGCTCACAGCCTGGAGCAGCTTCCACTGACGTAGTAATGGAAGTAGTCAGGCAGAAAGTATGTGACTTGAAGTTGGGGAGTCTGCCCAGAGTCAACAACTAATGGCAGGCTCGGAGATGGTGTGGAGGAACCTGCTTGGTTGCCCAAAGCTATATAACTTGCTCTCTCTTCCGGAATAGTCTGCAGCCACTTGCTCTCCAATTGCATTCCCCCAACTCCCGATGTCTGTGTGGTGACTCTGTACCTCTCACCCCCTTGGCCTGGGACTCCTGTCCTCGCCAATGGGCTGGACCCTTGGAAGAAAGACCAATAACACTGCATAGACCCAGTGAAGTTAGGTATAGAGGAAGAGACTAGAAAATACAGTACAGATAGATCTCACTAGGAAAGAAAAATAGAATAATTATGGGAGGGGAGAACGAGCTGGAATGGGAGGATCAAGTAGGGAGTGGGGGCAGAGGGAGGGAATATGAGGAAGGATAACTAAAACTAAGGGCCATTTGAAGGATAGTATGGAATCCTAATATGGTAGAAATTTCCTAAAATATATACATATATGAAGGTGATCTAAAGGAATTCACTGGGGAAACAGCCCTAACTGGGCATCCCTTGTCACCAAACGAAACTTCTGGCCCTGACACTGAGTTGCATCTAATTGAGTTGTTGGCCAAAGGGATCTCATGGGAATCCCCAAACAATCCAGGCTGTTGCCACGGCAACAGGTTGTTTTCCACAAACTGACAGTAAGGCCTATTGCTGAATACACCTTCACAACTCATTGAACATGGAGAAATCAAGTTTATGCCTACACAGAGTCTACAATCCTATGTTGTAGCATCTTTGGTACAGGAAAGTATGCTGCACACTACCAAAAGAGAAATGTAAATACCAAACAAGCCACAAACCCTTTGATCTACAATGCTGTGCTGCCTGCAAGATATGCTAGGGCAATGGTGGTACAAAGCTTGTGAGAATAACCAAACAATATCTGAATTAACTTAAGGTCCACTTCATGAGTTGTAACTCACACCTGAGAAACAAGATAGCTCAAGGGTGTAGGGTAAAACCAAATACTACTGGTCTAAACAAAAACAACAATGTAGTGATTCCTATAGATCAGTGCCTTGCTCAGCCATCATCAGAGAAACTTCCTCTTGTAGCAGAGGAGAACAAATACAGAGACACACAGCCAGATATTATGCAAAGAGAAACCTCAGAACACTCAGCCCTAAATGGGAAGTTTCCATCAAATCCCTCCCCTCAGGACTCAAGGAACCCTGTGCAAGAGGAGGCAGAAGTTGTATAAGAACCAGGGAGCTAGAGGACACTAAGGAAACTAGGCCTTATAAACCCAGCAAGACTGTTTCCTTTGTTGGACAGAAGCTTTTTAGTTTCTTGTAATCTTATTTGCCAATTCCTGGAGTTACGTTGGAGTCCTTTTCAGAAAGTCTTTACTTTGACCTTTATCCTGATGTGTTTTCCCTTTATTTTTCTCTAGCAATTCAGAGTTTTTTTGGCTTTATATTAAGGTCTTTGGTTCACTTTGAATTGATTTGCATACAGGGGGAGAGATGTACATCTAGTTTTATTCTTCTACGTGTGAATATACAGTTTTTCTGGCACTATTTGTCAAAGATGCTGTCTTTTGTCCAACATAGGTTTTTGATCCCTTTGGCAAAAAATTTAGATGTTTCTTTCTGGGGCCTCTGTTCTATTCCATTGGCCTACGTGACTGTATACTATTTCATACAAGAAAAACTATAACTGTTTTTTAAAAAGAAAAAATGGTACTGAGGACGGTGAAAACAATTTAAAATTCTCACACACTGATGATTGGTTATGTGATTCGGGTTAATGTAAAATGTCACAGCCCTTTTAGAAAAGTTTGGCAAAATATTTAACATAAAGTTACATAAATAATATATGACAATAATAGACAGTCCATAGTTAAGTACTCAAGAAATTACATTATACAAAGGTATTTTAAAATTATATACGTATACATGAATATAATGCAGCTTGATTACATTTTACTGGCTTGAAATTTGGACGGTAGAAGAGAAATGGATTGATTTTTAAAATAGACATGATGTGGAAGTGACAGGGTTCTATACTGGTTAGAAACATGATGGAAAGGGTAAGGATGACTCATAAATGAGCACATTTGAAATCTAATTCCTGTCTCCCAGCTATGTTGCATTTCTGTGCTCCTAAGGGCAGTAAGTGGGTTGGCCTCCTGGAACAGAGTAGACATTCACTACTTAACAAAGTGTAAGAAATACAGCAAAACAGATTAATACAGTAAAAATGTGCGTAGTAAAGCAGTTACCACTAGGCCCTGCCAAATGACCAATTCTAAAGTCACCCTCAAGCCATCCAACAGACATTCAGCACAATCCCCTTGAGACCATCTGAGAAGCCATCAATTCCTTTTCTTACTCAACATCTCCTTCATTATCAGCCAATCCTTGCCTAGAACCTGCAGGTATAGCACAGGCTGGGTTTTCCCAAGCTTCTCTCATTGCTGTTAGTCTTTACATGGGACAAAAGAAGGTTTATGTTCATCTCAAGTGAGCACAAGGTGAGCATGGTTTGGTAGAAAAGGTCACTGAGGGACTCAACTGGTGGAGCTCTGGTCACCAGGTAAAGAATCCTAAGAGCAGAGAGGGTTATTGAGTTTAGTCCTCAACCCCCAGATCTGAAAGGCAGAAAACAGCTGCCAGTAACAGTATAGACACTGAATGGATATTTTGCTGCCATTCTCAGAGTTAACAAGCAGGGGCAAAGTAGTACTGGTGAAACTCCTGAGACAGACATTAAGACAAGGAAGTGCCACAGTCTGTATTTCCAAGAAAGAACGAGGAGAAACAAATGGTAGACGTTCCCAGGCTCTATCACTACAATGAACATTCATTCATCACACTGCTTAGGAAACAATGTATGACTTCTTTAATACTGTGGTGAATCATATTTCCTTTTCATGGTTGTTCCATAATAAAGAACACTTGCAAGTCCCAACATTGTTCTATAGTGATTATATTTCTCCTGAACCTTTGTAGTCACTTACCTATAGGAAAATGAACTACTTTTCCGTTTTAACTACTGTGTATAATTAACTACTTTTCCGTTTTAACTACCGTGTATCCTGACAAGCAAACAATAAAATAAAAGCAACACCAAAATAAGACTACTGTATGAAAATGGATTATCAAAGCGTTCCCAAATAGAAGAGCTCAGTGTTTTTGTTCAGTAATTAAATAGCAAAATCTCCAACCATTTTTTCTCATGGAACTTGCTGGTGATATATTATGTTCATTCAATATATTACATTTTCATTTTGGACAATAATTTCATTAAAATCCTTACTAATAACGTATTCACAAGAGCATTATTCAGTTACCATTCAGTTAATGCATTAAATTAATATCATTTCCAATAGTTTTAAAAGGTTCTTTTGAGTTGTTTTCAGAACAGAAAGAAAGGTTTCTAGCTACCGTAACCCATAACTTATTCTCTAACTACACTGATAGCCTTGCTCTGAGAGGAGCAGACAAAAGTACAATCTGGTCAGAGAACATTAACGAAAACGAAATAAAAGAAGGCCATGCTGTAAGTCTTAGAAAAGCAGGGTTCCTCCTTTCAGCTTCTTGGCTGAGCAGAGTGAGGTAATGCTGAATTCTAGCGACCAAGTGAGTGACAGATTCGGGGCTGAAAGGTCTAACTGAGTTTGAAATTATGTATATTGGGTTTCAGTCTCAAGCCCAGCTTCCTCCAGCTGTGTCACAGTGTTAGGCCTAACTGGCCCTAAACTATCTCTAGGAGGGCTAGCACAAATCGTGAGGACAGCCTTGCAGCAAGGCAGAATTGTCCGCCTCAGTAAGTGTGTAAGGTGAGTATCATCAATCTCAGACGGGAATGGAGCTGCCACTGCCCACTTTACCGGGCCCCCAAAGCACAAGACTAAGAGCCATGGATCCCAGACACTAACTCCTTCCCAGGCCCGAGGGGCTGCACCTACCCGTGCTGGAAGTCGCGACTCAGAAGTTTGCGGGTGCAAAATCCAGCAAAGAGGGGCTGAAGCGCAACCTTGTCACTCACTCCTTTTGCTTTTTACTACCCAGCCCTCTAAGGCAGTCTGGCTCCGCTCCGCTCCCCTCCCCTCCCCAAGCCTGCTCTAGCGCAGCACAGAGTAAGGCCCCACCCCTCTCCTTCCGGATTTGCAGAGTAGGAGCCTCAGGGCGGTACTAAGATCTGGAAAGATCAGAAAAGTGTTCCCTAGGCAGTTAAGTCTGCTAGTGGGTTCTATAGTAATGGGAAAAGGGACTGTCTCTGACAAGAACTGATTGGCCTGCTATTTGATCACCTTCCCCTAAGGGAAGCAGCATTACCAGGCCACAGAGGAAGACGATGCAGCCAGCCCTGATGAGACCTGATAAACTAGGATCAGAAGGAAGGAAAAGGAGACCTCCCTTATCAGTGGAGTAGGGGAGGGGCAAGGGTGGAGAACAGGGAGGGAGGGTAGTATTGGGAGGGGAGAGGGGAGGGAGCTACAGGGGGATACAAAGTGAATAAACTGTAATTAATAAAAATAATAAATGGAGAGAGAAAAAAGGAAAAAAAAGAAAAGTGTTCTAGTTGGTAGTTTTCACTGAAGAAATTTGGAGGAATAATTAGAGAAAGACAGGTCCAGGATGTTACAATGCATGTAAAACTCAGGTTGCCTGCCTGCTATTTCTGTGCTCTTCTCTAATCTCCTATCTATGTTTTTATTAATGGTAGCTTACTGAGGTTTTATAAGAACTAAAATTCTTCCATTATCCATCCACATGTCACATATCCCTCACTATGAAATTTCCATGGATTCAGATGAGCATTTTGAATCAAAGGCCCAGCTACAGTGCTAATATAGTGAGTCTTAAGGGGGAATAAACCACAAGGAATGACTACCTTGTGTGAATGAAATTTAATAATATATACTAAAAACAACTAAGAGATGGATCGTGAAATGATCTGTCATAAAGGCACAAAAATAAACCAGTTTTTCATATTCAACATAAACAAAAGATGAAAAGCTTCCATTAGGACGGAGGCTTTAAATATTTCTCTATAGTTTCATCCTGGAATTCTTTCTGTCTACAGTTGTTTACTTGGAAAAATAATAGTCTTTTTTAAAAAGTCAATTTAGGCTTTCCTCTGTGATTTTTTAAATTGTCATTTCTATATAAATTTACATTCTCTTTTTCTATATGCCTAATATACCACTTACTCTGGATATCTTTTCTGTGCAGTGAACAAGCAGCTTTTTGAAAGCAGAAAGTTTGTATTTTTCCAAGCATAAGATGTATTCTTTAATCAATATTTGTTAATAATTGCCTACAATCACCGAATATACACACTAGAGATTATACCCAAAATGTGAATTAATGCTAAGAACAATAACTAAAGATGAAAATTCTAAATTTAATCTGGCTGGTATTCATTTATGCAAAAAATATTGAGTCTCTACTATATGTCAACCTTTGTTCTGATCTCTGGGTATAAAATGATGATCAAAAGCAGGACATAATTTATACCCTTATAATTTTATGCTTAAAGAACGTAATCAGTGGTGACCAGGCAAATGTGAAAAAGGGGAACATTCCAGATAGAATGAAAGCATGATGTAATATGAAGTATATATTCAGTAATATGAAGGAACATGACAGTAGTAGATGATATCAGCAAAGGTAAAATGAAACTGGTAAATATAAAGTCCCCAAGAAAAGGCAAGAAGTTGATAAAGTTTATTTAATTCAGAGAAGTTCTTCATTATAATAGTAAACAACATTTATAAAACTTACACTATCTGCCAAATTTTGACCTATGTTATAATAAACATTTAAAACAGATTATATTATTTGTACTTTAGGGGTAAGGCGACAAAGGCACAGATAGGTTAAACAATCTCAACAAGATCACATGGAAGTTAAGTTCCCAAGCTGAGAATAAAACCTAAGTAAATATTATACAATGGAAACTACAATAAAAACACAAGTAGAAAGCTAAAAAGAATCCTTTCAACAAAATATGTTCATTGGCTCTAGGTTCTTGACATTCATCTATAATAGACCATGACAAGAGTTTCAAGAAAATAGTCCACTGGACTCAAATATTACTATTGTAAATCTATGCCTCAGTAGCGGTGATGGTGGGTGACTTTGGTACATGATGTTCTCAAGACACAGAGCAAAGACAGGAGGAAAAGTAGATGCCCTGAATGCTACTTTGTGAAGTACACCTACAATTTTGGTTAAAAGGCTTTGTTTCTCTGAGCATCGATTTCCCATTTCATGCATGGGTGTAATAATTGTATCTATGTCACAAGACTATAGTGGTTAAAAGCGACATGCCTGTCATGCAGTGTCAGTATCAGCTATTAAGAATACAGAATTTTAGTGACTGAAAGAGAGAAAGTATGAACAACCAGACAAGATAGAGTCCAGGTACAACTTGATCAATAATAAATGGATGATAAAAAAATTATTTTCTCTTCTTTGTGCTATTTATCCCTCAGTTTTACTCAGGACTTACTGTTAGAAACTAAACATTGAAGCCAGGTGTGGTAGTTTATGCCTTTAATCCCAGCAGTTGGAAGGTAAAGGCAGGAGAATCTTTGTGAGTATGAGGCCAACATGGTCTATATAGCTAGTTCTAGAACAACCAACGCTACATAGAGAGACCCTGTATAAAAAAGAAAAGACAAAAGAAAAGGAAAGAAAAGAAAGTAAGCATTGGGATTATTTCCTTGTTGGCTTCCTTGATTTGTGTGTGGTGTGTATGTGTGTGTAGCACTCATTTTTTTTTTACTTTATTTTATTTTATTAATTACAGTTAATTCACTTTGTATCCCAGCTGTAGCCCCCCTCCCCAACCCCTTCCAATGCCACCCTCGCTCCCTCTTCTCCTATGCCCCTCCCCCAGTACAATGATAGGGGAGGTCTTCCTCCCTTTCCATCTGACCATAGTCTATCAGGTCTTATCAGGACTGGCTTCTTAGTCTTCCTCTGTGGCCTGGCAATGCTGCTCCCTCCTCAGGTGGAGGTGATCCAAGAGCCATCCCATGAGTTCATGTCAGAGATGGTCCTTGGTCCTATTAGTGGGAAACCCTCTTGGATACTGAGCTGCCTTGGGCTACTTCTGTGCAGGGGTTCTAAGTTATCTCCTTGCATGGTCCTTGCTTGGAGTATCTGTCTCAGAAAAGACCCCTGTGCCCAGATTTTTTGGTTCCGTTGTTCCCTTTATAGAGATGGACAATGGAAGAGGGAGAAAACATGTAACAGGACAGGAGCCTACCACAGAGGACCTCTGAAAGACTTCACCCTGCAGGGTATCAGAGCAGATGCTGAGATGCATAGCCAAACTTTGGGCAGAGTGCAAGGAATCTTATGAAAGAAGGGGGAGATTGAAGGCACTCATTTTTAAACTTTATTTTATTTTGGGTTCCTTATAGTTAGTGGGGTACAGACCCCTTTAAGTCTCCAGACTGTTTATGTTTGATAGGTTCTTTTTGGAGTTATATCAATTTCTTTCAACAGTAGATGCAGCTAGCAGTTATCTTCCAAGCCACTGCGTTGAAACGTTTTTTTCCACCACACCATCCATCTCTGGTCTCTTCAAACTGCCAGTTTACACAGGCTACCACCTCATGACATGCTTTAACTTTCTGGGTTCTCATATTTATATCCTCAGAGTCCTAGACCAGGCCACTCTTCATGCTGCACAAGGCAGGCCATACCAGCTGGGAAAGACCACACCCCGCAGAAGACAATTATCAGCTGTGGACAAACTAAAACACAACCTAAAATCCCACACTTGGGATTAGAACAAAACCATATTTACATAACATTACTGAGTTTTTTAAAAACAGAAAACTTCCATTATGTATATGTGTGTGTGCATGTGTGTGCTAAACAACTCATATAGTGTATGACACAGAGTATCTTTTAGGAATGAATGAATAGTTGGATGGATTAAAACCTAGGAACAGAGGCCCTCTGTCGTAGGCTCCTGTCCTATTTCCTGTTTTCTCCTTCTTCCAATGTCCATCCAATTTGTCTTTCGGAGTGAGGATTGATCATCTTACCCAGAGTCCTCCTTCTTGCTTAGCTTCTTTAGGTGTACAGATTTTAGCATGTTTATCCTATATTATATGTCTAGTGAGTATAAACCATGTGTGTCTTTCTGTTTCTGGGACACCTCACTCAGGATGATCTTTTCTAGATCCCACCATTTGCCTGCAAATTTCATGATTTCCTTGTTTTTAGTTGCTGAGTAGTATTCCATTGTATAAATGTACCACAATTTCTGTATCCATTCCTCCATTGATGGACATCTGGGTTGTTTCCAGGTTCTGGCTATTACAAATAAAGCTGCTACAGACATGGTTGAGCAAATGTCCTTGTTGTATACTGGAGCATATTTTGTATATATGCCTTGGAGTGGCATAGCTGGATCTTGAGGAAGTGCTGTTCCTAATTGTCTGAGGGCCTCTGAAAGACTCTACTCAGGAGTGTATCAAAGCAGATGTTGAAACTCATAGCCAAACTTTGGGCACAGTACAGGGAATCTTACGAAAGAAAGGGGAAGATACAAAGACCTGGAGAGGAGAGGAGCTCCACAAGGAGAGCAACAGAACCAAAATATCTGGGCCCAGGGGTCTTTTCTGAGACTGATACTCCAAACAAGGACCATGCATGGAGATAACCTAGAACCCCTGCTCAGATGTAGCCATGGCAGCTCAGTCTCCAAATGAGTTCCCTAGTAAGGGGAATAGGAACTGTCTCTGACATGAACTCAGTGGCTGGCTCTTTGACGCCCTCCCCCCCCCCCCCCAGGGGAGAGCAGTCTTACCAGGCCACAGAGGAGGACAATGAAGCCAGTCCTGATGAGGCCTGATAAGCTAGAGTCAGATAGAAGGGGAGAAGGACCTATCAGTGGATTTGGGGAGGGTCATGGGAGGAGATGAGGGAGGGAAGGTGGGATTGAGAGGGAATGAGGGAGGGGGCTACAGCTGGGATACAAAGTGAATAAACTGTAATTAATATAAAAATAAAAATTTAATTTAAAAACAAAACAAAAACCTAGGAAGAGCTAGGCATGGTTTCATATACCTGTAATCTAAGAAAGCTCAGTA